AGGAGAAATGTGGGATAAAGATTGGTGGAAGATCTATCAACAATCTGTGTTATGCAGATGACACAACCCTGCTTGCTGAAACAGGAGGACCTGAAGCACCTGCTTCAGAGGGTCAAGGACTGTAGCCTCCAATATGGATTGAGGCTCAATGTCAAGAAGACAAAGATTCTCACCACTGGGCCAATTGGAAGCATCAGAATGGATGGTGAAGAGATTGAGATTGTACACAGCTGTAGTTTGCTTGGCTCCACAGTCAACACTCTTGGCACCAGTAGCCAGGAAATTAAAAGGCGCATTGCCATGGGAAAGTCTGCTGTTAGGGACCTCTCCAAAGTACTGAAGAGCAGTGGTGTCTCTCTGGAGACTAGGGTGCATCTGATACAGGCCATGGTCTTCGCAATCACTTGTTATGCATCAGAGAGTTGGACAATGACCAAGAAGGACAGAAGGAGAATTGATGCCTTTGAGCTGTGGTGCTGGAGAAGAGTGTTGAAAGTACCATGGACTGCTAGGAAAACAAACAGACTCATCCTGGAAAGGGTTAAACCAGGTGGCTCTTTGGAGGCAAGGATTCTGAGGCTCCGTCTAACATACTTTGGACATGTTGTAAGAGGAGACTGGTCCTTGGAGAAGGACATCATGCTGGGGAGGGTGGAGGGACGGCGCAGTGGCAGAAGGCCCTCTATGAGGTGGATTGATTCCGTGACTGGGGTTATTGGGATGGGAGTGTCAGAGGCAGTGCGATTGGCACAGGACAGCAACTCAACGGCACATAACAACAACAACAACAATTGTTATGTGCTGCTGATTTGACCTTTCCATTTGATATCTGGTAGACACAAACTCCCGTTGTTTTTCGTAATGGTAAGGAGCTGTGCTGCAGTGCCAAAGGTACATGGTTCAAATCCACCCCCTGCTCCCTAGGAGAAAAATGGGCAATCTCTGCCTCAGAAAATCCTATGGAGGGTCAGCTATAGGTCAGTTTTGACTTGGTGGTACACAGCAACAGCCATCTAATATAGGACAAAAATCTTGTTCTAGTTTATCCTTCGTGTCTCTTTTCCCCTCACAGCTCTAATCTTATTGACTGTTCTTTAAATATATATAAATAATACAATCAATTCTTTCTATTTTCTGTTGTCATCCCGAGTCATCATTCATCATCTGCTGGGTGGATTTCTGTAATCAGGTAATACTCCTTATTTCACTCATGTCTCTTTGCTTTGTATTGACATAAAACAACTATGATTGTCCTATTAAAACATAGAGCATGCCATTTCTACTCAGCACTTCTCTTTGTTTCCCCCTCTTTTCCATTTCATACATAGTTTTATAAATTGACTGACTATATCTTCCATCAGTCTTTTTCCCTACTCACTGATTGGCTCAATTCCAACATCATTGACTTCTTTGTTCATGAAGAGGACAGGCTGACTTCTATTTGAAGATTTTAGTGTTTATAGTTTCTTCTTTTAATGTTCAGTGTCCAGTTTTGATTAAAATATCAGAATATTTGTGGTACCTGCCCTGAGTATCATTTTTAGAATTGACATTGCTTTACCCCCTCGCATCTCATCTCTCTTACCTGTTTTTTTAGCTAATGTTAGATGGATCTTGGCAGAAAGCAGAGAGTACCAGAAGAGTATCTATATTTGTGCCTCATTGACTGTGCAAAGGCTTTTGACTGTGTGGATCACAACAAGCTATGGCTGACTCTGAGAAGAATGGGAATCCCAGACATTTGACTGTGCTAATGTGACACCTATACTTGGACCGAGTATAGTTGGACAAAAGGGAGTCATCAGAACAGAGCAAGGAGATGCTGCATGGTTCAAAATAGGGAAGGGTGTCCACCAGGGATGTATTCTGTCTTCATACCTTTTCAATCTGTATACAGAACAGATCATCTGGGAAGCTGGACTGTATGAGGAGGAATGTGGCATCAGGATTGGTGGAAGAGTCGTCAACAATCTGCTTTATGCAGATAACACAACCCTGCTTACTGAAACTGAGGAGGACCTGAAGAACTTGCTGCAGAAGGTCAAGGACAGCAGCCTTCAATATGGATTGAAGCTCAACATCAAGAAAACAAAGATTCTCACTACTGGCCAATTGGCAGCATCAGTATGGATGGTAAAGAGATTGAGATAGTTAACAGTTTTAGTTTACTTGGCTCCACAGTCAGCATTCTTGGTACCAGCAGCCAGGAAATCAAGGGATGAATTGCATTGGGAAAGTCAGCTGTCAGAGGGCTCTCCAGAGTACTGAAGAGCAACAACATCAGGCTGGAGACTAAGATGCACCTGCTCCTGACCATAGGCTTTGCAACGTCCTGCTAAGCGTTGGAGAGCTGGACAGTGACTAAGGATGATAGGAGGAGAGGTGATGCCTATGAGCTATGATGGTAGAGGAAAGTGAATATACCATGGACTGCTAGGAGAACAAACAGTTTTGTGCTGGAGAGGGTAAAACCGGGCTGTTCCTTGGAGGCAAGGATTCTGAAGCTTCGTCTGACTTACTTTGGGCATGTTGCAAGGAGGGACCAGTCCTTGGAGAGGGACATCATGTTTGGGTGAGTGGAGGAACAGCACAGGAGAGGAAGACCCTCAATTAGATGGATTGATTCAGTGATTGGGCTAATGGGAGTGGGAGTGGGTGTGGCAGAGACAGGTTGGCACAGGATAGAGCAGCGTTAAGGTCTCTTATACATAGAATCTCTATGAGTTGCAAGCGACTTGATGGCACATAACAACAACAACAATAACACTTATCACCTTTTAATAGACTGTTTTGGAAGCCGGAGTGGCATTCACTTCCTAAACAACATACCTCTGGAAACTCTATGAATTTAGATAAATGATGATAGTTATAGAGAGGCTGTAGGCCTTTTGTTCATAGGGTCAATATGAGTCATGCTTCACTCACTCACAGTCAACAACACAACAACAGCAACAACAAAAACAATGCACTATGTATTTCTTATGTTTATAGACTTTGTAGTTTATTAGATTCTATTTCTGCATGGGCAAGGATTTTTGCCTCCTTTTCTCGTCTTGAAAGCTTACTTGATAAATATAGATGCTTGATAGATAGACATACTTGACTCAATGTTGTTGTTGTTGTTAAGTGACGTCAAGTCATGACTCATAGCGACCCTATGAATGAAAGACCTGAACACTTTGTATAACTTTCATAATTTCTCCTCATTCATAGAGTTTTTGGAGGCAGTCTGTTTCGGATGTGGATGTCACTCCTGCTTCCAAGCTTGTTTTAATTGGGGAGCTCCACCAAACACTGTCCACCGTGGGTAACCATTATCACATTTGACACATCACAAACTGGATTCCAGCCCCATATGCAAACCAAATGAGTTTTTAAATTGGAGGCCAAATCACATCATCTCACACCCATTAGCAAATCAACATTCCACCCTGATCTTCACCAGTACCAGCAAACAAGCCTCTGTAGAATCCTGCTCTTGGAGATGACTTCCAAACTGGGTTCCCACTTTATTGAATAGATGCTTAAGAAATAGATGCTTCAGAAATATTTGCTGAATGAATGGATGAATGATAAGGCATGGAAAGATGTTCTCCTCTTCTCTACCTTCCCCTCCTTGCCCTGCCAGTTCTTAGCTAGTGTTTTGGGAGAAAAAGAAGGAAACCAAGTCTTTTGTTATTATAAAAGCCTTGTGCTAAATCTGTTTTTTTCATATAGACCAAAAGAATAGTTTTTACTTATTTTGCCACTGAGAATGTATGGTTTGTTTTCTTTCTCTGTTGATCTATAAAAATCCTTCAATGTTGTATATTCAATGGCCATTTTATATGTTTTAACATTACCAAAGCGTTCCTGGTATATTGCCTTCCAGTCCTCTGAGCCAGCATTGTTTATTTCCTAGAGATTTAGGCCCATTTACTAAAGAAGAATGTAATAGTATGTACACAGAACAAATGTATCACAATAGGATCTGCTGCTTAGAATTCATTGTGCTTGCAAAAGGCCCACCCATAGTTAGGGATACTTCTTCAGTAACTATAAGGCACCATAATTTTTACTCCCACTGTGCTTTTTGCACTATAGATTAAAAATGCCGAAAAGGAATTCTTTCAGGACAGCAAATTCCTTTTATAAACTTGTAGTGTGAATTGAATTTCTTAGAGGTCTTTGGAGTGTAAATGTCCACTAGTCCTCAAAGGTGAAATAGCCAGCAGGAGTTATCTGAGATTATTTATAGTTACTCAGTCAAAGAGACTATGTAAAAATTGCACTTGTATGAATTTCACAGAGACATCTCAAGCGGAACAGGTTTTAGAAGTTCGTCTGAGTTTTAGAGTATGTACTAAGTTCATTCTGAAAAACTGTCAAATAGCTGAATCCTATACCTTATATTCTGCCTCTTGATGGCTCATGTGAATCCTCACCAGAAGGGCCAGTCACATGATTTTAACATAATTACCAGTAAGTCATGAGGTTGCATGGGAATGCTATTCTGTACAGTTAAATAAGATTATGCAGAATTTTAAAGGAATTTGATATGTAGTGCAAAACTATAGAATGTGTATGTTATAATAATAATAATAATAATAATAATAGTAATAAAGTATACTGAACCACAGAAAAAAAAGACTGAACAACAAATAGTGTTAAATATTTGGAAATCTCTAGCTGTGGAAAATCAGTAAAACGTAATTCTGTCTAGTTGTATATTTAATTTTAAATATATATGAAGATCCAATGCTAAAATTCTTTGACTTTGTATTTCAATGTAATATATTTGGTATTTTCATGGAAGTAATACTTTGTAACTAAAATAGTCAAGTATTCTGTAGTAGCTGAAATAGTATTTTATGTTTATCTAAAATAGATTAATATTCATTTTTCTTAAACCTCATCAGCTTATATTCTGCCACTAAAAATATTCATGTTGCTTAAGACATGACTTGGACTTCCAAATGTATTAATTTTGATATAAAGTCTTTTCCTTAATGTTATTATAGAGGTTCCAGGAACTTTAGCAGTTGCAGTGCAGACGACTTTGAAAAATTGACTTTAAATAAAGGAGGGAACTGTCTTCTTAATATCCCAAAGCCTGATGAAGCCTATAGTGCTCCGTTCTGTGGTAATAAATTGGTGGATCCTGGGGAAGAGTGTGACTGTGGTTCTCCAAAGGTGAGTTTAATTTTCCCTTGGTGAATTTACCACTGAAATTTGCAACAAATAAAATAGCTTGCATTTGGCAACTCTGGTATAGAAGCTGGAGTAAAACTTAGTGGCCAAGTGAGGATTGGTGTGGAAGATGTTCTTCATACTGTTCATCTCCTTGTCCCCGGACGTAAGCAGTGGTGCTATGTGTTTTGAAGAGAGAGAAAGGGTCATGTTTAGTCTACCTTTTTGCTGCCTTTTGCTACTTTTTACCATTTCTCATTGGCTTGCTTACTTACTTTAAAGAATAACCAGGTTTTCATTGAACTCTTATAAACTTTTAATATTCCCATTGTGCCATTATTGTACTACTTATTCACTTGAACTCATTTTAATAAAAAATTGAATTTTACTCATCTTTCACAGCCCTTCAGTTCTACTAAAATTACTTTTCTTCCTTTAACTTTTAGTTTTTCTACCAATCTCTAGCTTTATTGACTTATTAACTTCACATGTTGCCATGTATTTTATGCCTAATACTTGGGCTACTATTGTGCTCCATCTTAGCCATGCTCTTCTCAAAATGGCCTACTCAAAGCACGTTCTTCCTCCAGACATAACATTAAATTGTGAAGAAATTTTTCCATTTGAATGTAAACTTCTTCCTTAACCTAAATCTGACTTTTTCCAACTTACTTCACTTTTCATAGAAAGGAATATGTGTTTTGTGATAAAAATGACGATGTCTTTATTGTACTTTGTTAAATACCAGAGAGTTCGGCTAAGTGCTTTATATGGTGCAGTTCTCAGAGTAATCCTAAAACATTTTTAGGTATTAATATTCTCATTTTCACATGAAGAATCTGTTTATGTGATATAAGTGAGCATTGGTGTATGTCTCTTTTTGAATTTCTGCTTTTGGATATATAATGAGGAGCAGAATTGCTGGGCCACAATGTATTTAGTCTAAGGACTGAGTGCTTCTTCAGTGTTACTTGGTCACCTTGTAGAACTGTAGTGAGCTCTGGTGGCTTAGTGTAAGAATCTGCGCTGCAATCCCGAAGGCATGAGGTTCACATCCACCAGCTGCTCCATGGGAGAAAGATGGGCAGTCTCCTCCTGTGTGATTAACTGCCTCTGCTGTGGGTCAGTTCTGACTTGATAGTACACAACAACTACCATGGTTTCTGAAATTTATATCTTACCCAAGCTTTTACTGTTCTTTGATATGTACATTAAAGTTTTAAATTGGCTTGTAATTATTCCATTAGCCATGTACAGCAAAGCAAATTTTATTGTCATTCAATTGAAATCTTTTTTGTTGTTCATTATTACTAGCATTTTGTTACATAAATTATCATCAAAATATATTTTTAAATTTCCAAACGTGTGAGGTTTTCTACCTTTAAAAATTATTTCTAGGGGTTTTTTTGGTTTCTGTTTTTATTAGTAAATAAACTGTCTTTTGAAAAAGAGCTTTAGTGACACAGTGGTCAAAGCACTTGTAAGCTAACCAAAATGTTGAAGCTCTGCACCTGTCAGCTGTTCTGCAGGTGAAAGATGTGGCAGTATGTTACTATAAAGATTTACAGGATTAGATGCTCTGTAGGCAGTTCTTAGCTGTCCTATAGGGTCACTATGAGTTGGAATTAGCTGATTGCAGTGGGTCTTTTTATGGGTCTTTTGAAATACAGTGGATTCTAAATAGTTGTAGCTAAGTCATTAAGAAATCCAGTGAGTTAGTTGATGATTTTATTTGGAGAGCATACTATGATCAGGTTAGAAAGAAATCACTATTAGGTCTCAAGTAAGAATGTTATTAGTTACTATTGATGTAAAAAAGGTGCATTGCTTTATTGACAGTCATTTTCTTATCTTAGGAATGTGAACTGGACCCTTGTTGTGAAGCAAGCACTTGTAAGCTTCGATCAGGTGCTCAATGTGCATATGGCGACTGTTGTCAAAAGTGTTTGGTGAGGAATTCCTTTAATTAGGAACATAAAAAAGGGGAAAAGTGATATAAGAATTTGTTTTCTGAGATCTCTAGCAGAGTATTTTTTATTATATTATTATGAGAAAAACTATGCCATGTATTTGCAAATTTATAACTTTTGTGAAAAAGATGTATTAAGATTTTTTTCTATGTGAAATTCTATTATTTATGATTTTAAGAACAATGCATGCTTAGCATAAATAAGTATAAACAGTATAAATATATTTACTTTCTACAAAAGCAGATACAGAAAACAGGAACTGAAAGATCCCCTATGTGAAAGAATGAGAAAGACTATGTGTTCTCGTACATGTGTGTATTTGTGACCACACACATATTTTCATTGTCTGTTTCTATTTATAGCATGAATTTTTTTCCATTCAATTGTATATGATTATATAATTGGTGATATATAAGTATGTGAATTATAGATGATTATATTGAATTCTTTTGTATGGTTATATCAATTTCTTTAGTCAATGACAGGCAATTAGAGTGCTTCAAGTTTTGTTTATCAATGGATTTTTAAACAGGGAACATGCATGTTAAAATTCTTCATATTAATATAACATTTCACAAATATGCCAATCTATATTTCTAATTTAACAAAATACTTATTTCTTAATGCTAGTATTTATTTCTTATATGCTTTATACTTCTGGTTAGTTTAATTAGTGTCTTTAAGTTTGTATTTTTTATTGAATTTACATGTCTGAGTTACTAATGAAATACTTTGTTTCTTTTAAAACCATTTTCTATTTTATGTCTTTTATTAATTACTTATTGGCTTTTATTAATTTTTTTCTATTGGGTTATTTAATTTTGTTTTTTAGAATGCTCTATAAATACTGTGACTTTAAAGTTGATTTATTTATTGAAATTATTATGTTATTCCTATTTAATTTGAAATGTACTACTCTAGTTCCTTCGAGGAGGTACTTTATGCCGAGGAAAAAACAATGAGTGTGACGTTCCAGAGTATTGCAATGGTTCTTCTCAGTTCTGTCAGCCAGATGTTTTTATTCAGAATGGATATCCTTGCCACAATAACAAAGCCTACTGTTACAATGGCATGTGCCAATATTATGATGCTCAATGTCAAGTCATCTTTGGATCAAGTAAGAGAAATTAGTATTTATAATTTATTTCATTTTCTTTTTTGCCTTAGTCATTTTAAATAAAGAAAAGAAAACCTTTTGAAAAAGTTGAAATACTTTTATTTAACCTATCACTTCTCCCTTCCTTCTGCAGAGGAGGCCATAATCACAAATTTGGTATATATTCTTCTAGTTGAGGTTTTGGCTATTACTGTCAATATCTTTCTATCATCTCTCTGTCCTTTGTATATAAATGCAATTGATAAAGTATCATTCTCTGTTATGTGTTATGTTAGGTACTATTGAGTTCAGTATGACACATGGTGACCCTACAGACAACAGATCTGAATTCTGTTCTCTCCTGTGCCATCCTCACAATCTCTGACACACTGGAGTCCATTGCTGGAGTTACATGCCAATCCACCTGGTAGAGAGTCTCGCTCTCTTTTGCTGTCCCTCCACTTTCCTAAGCATGATATCCCTTCCAATGAATAGCCGCTCTTAGCAATATGTCCAAAGTATATGGGATGAAGCTTCATCATCTTTGCCTTCAAGGAGTACTCTGGTTGCGCCTTCTCCAAGACATTTGTCTATTCTTTTGTCAATCCATGTGTTATTCAATATTCTTCTCCACTACCACAGTTCAATGGCAACAATTCTCCTTCTATCATCCTTATTCAGTGTCGAGCTCTCTAGCAACATAGTAAGTGATTGAAAGACCATGACCTGAGTAAAGCATACCTTAGTCCTCGAGCTCAAAAAGTTGCTCCTCAATAATTTTGAGAGTTCTTTGGCTGCAGACTTTTGCAGTGCAATAGGTCTTCTGATCTCCTGATTTCTGGTACCAAGTGTATTGGTTGTGGATCCAAGTAAGATGAAGTTTTTGACAGTATCAGTCTTTTCTCTATCTATCATGATGTTGCCTATTGGTCCAGTAGTGACAATTTTTGTTTTCTTGACATTGAGATGCATTCGTATTGAGGACTATAGTCTTAAATCCTCTGCAACAAGTGCTTCAGGTCCTCCTCAGTTTCAGTCTTTTAACAAATTCACAGAAATGGTAAGACTGTACAAGAGTCTGCTATCTGAATTTTTTAAACAAAATTATTTCAAGTTTTATCTATATAATTTATTTGAGTATTCCTTTAGAGAAATGGATTATGCATCTTCAAATCCTGTTTTACTCTCTTTAGAGAATAAACTTAAGTCTTTAATAGTTGCTGAAATGGAGGAATCAAGAAGTAACTTTAAAAACCAAAACCAACCTCAAAAAAAATCCACACACAACCATTGCCATGGAGTAGATTCTGACTCATGGCTTCCCTATAGAACAGAGTAGAACTACCTTAAAGAGTTTCTAATTCTATAAATATTTATGGAAGTAAATAGATTTCATCTTTCTTCCATGAAGCCTCAGGTGTCTTCCAACCATCACGGTTCTGGTTAGTAGCCGAATGCCTTAACTTAGATACTTTTCCCTTATTGCTATTTTAGAGAATATTTCCCCCCAGATTAAAGATATTTACCATATTTTTTTCATATTTCTTATATTACACAGTTGTTTCCCATTTCATCTTTTAGTTTTGGCTATGTAATTTTTTTTACCGATTTTTTTTTCTCATTTGATTTGATGGTTTCATCTTTTTATATCATGCTTAAAAATTCCTTACCCTTGCATTACATGTATAGTTTTCTAGTATTCTAATAATTAAATTTTCCATATTTAAGTCTTTAATTATTCTGGGATTTATTGAACAATTCTGTTTTCCACCAATTTAAAGTAACACTTTAGTCAACATACATACTTCTATACAAATATTTATACTAAAACATCATACATACTTGTGTCTATTTCTGGAATTTTTCTTGAAATTTTCTGAAAGAAAATGACATAGATTCTTTTTGTTAAATTGTCTGATGGTAAATTCTGTTTTTTGCTGTTCATTAGACTACACTCCCATGAACTGTGTAACTCTAGCTCTACCCTTCAGGGACTGAGAAGATGTCAGACTAGACATTATTTCAGAAATTTGGACTATATATTTTAGGTTGTTAAACTTAACATTTTTAGTTGTAGATTTCAAATTAAGATTTCATTGTTTTTGTAATAGAATACATTAAATAGTTTTATTTAAGTAGTTAGATTTTTTGTTTGGTGTAGGGGGACAGATTTTTTCTGACACCACTTTAAAGAAAATTTTTGAGGGACTAGAAAAGTATCAGCTAATTACTTTGTACTAGTCAGTCTTGGGAGTATACACCAGAGAATGTAAGGGCCTTTAGGCAGCTTTACTTTGATTACATAAGGTGCTAGCAGTGTTCCAGCAGTGATAGTTTACATTTGTGTTCCTTGGCTATATTTCCTTTCTTCAGATGGCTGAGGCTGCTGATTACTTATGCCCAGAATTATTGGAATTCATTATTCTCACTTTGTTTTCTTTTTGTCTTGAGTCAGTAGAAACAGTATCGGTGTTTTCAACGGATTTAAATATGTGATTGGTATATGCATAGTGAGACTTTAATTAATAAGAAAACTTAGAGAACAGTAGCTTTTCTGCTTCCCTTTAAATGGCTCCTAGAAATTACATTTGCTGTTTGGGTATGGAACCCTTAGTTGTTGCTGATGTGTGCTGTTGAGTTGCCTGCAACCCATAGTGACCCTATGTACAGCAGCTCTGAATCCTGCCCTGTTCTGAGCCAGACTTACTGATTCTGACACACTGACCTCCATTGCCCCAGTTACTGTATCAATCCATCTCATCTAGGCTCTTTTTCTCCTGTGCTGTCCCTCCACCTTTCCAAGCATGACGGCCTTCTCTAAGGAATTGTCTCTCTTGGCCATGTGCCCAAAGTATGTGAGACGGAGCTTCAAAATCCTAGCCTTCAAGGAGAAAGTTGGTTTCATCCTTTCCAAGACAGACCTATTTGCTTTCCTGGCAGTCTATGGTTATCTTCAAGACTCTTCTCCAGCCCCAAAATTCAAAGGCATCGATTCTTTTTCTGTCATCCTTAGTCATTGTCCAGCTCTCTGACACATATCAAGTAATTGCAAAGACCATAGCCTGGATTAGGCACACCTTAGTCTCTAGACAGACATCATTCCTTTTCAGCACTCTGGAGAGGCCCCTGACAGCAGATTTTTCCAATGCAATTGTCTTTTGATTTCCTGACTGCTAGTATTAAGATTGTTGATTGTGGATCTGAGCTAGCTGCACCTGTTAACAACCACAATGTGTTTTCCATCATCATGGTGCTGCCAATTGGCCCGGTGGTTAGAATCTTTGTCTTCTTGATGTTGAGCCTCAATCCATATTTAAGACTACAGTTTTGACCTTCTGCAGCAAGCACTTCAGGTCTTCTTCAGTTAGGTGACTAATATTTAATTAAAGGAAGAAAACCCAATTCTTCACTTTTTTCAGTTTATTTTCCTTTTCTTTCTATTTTAGTTAATAAGACCAGTGACTGGCATATTGCTGGATTTCTCTGAAGGCAGATTTATTATTTTGACTAGACTTCTGCTAGACCTAAATTCTGTTGTACTTCTCATCTTAAAAGGATAGACGCTGAGGAGGAAAGACCCAAACATCAGTAGGAAATTTTGTTGGGATAGAATGGCGAATTTCTATCAACTTCTCATATGTTTTACAGGATAGGCAAGTTATTCCATAACTAAAAAGTGGTTGCATATTTTTAATGAAGTAAATACTATTATTTGGTAAAAATATTACTGTCATAGGATATTGTAAACAAGTCTAAGGCTGAGGGAACAGAATATATCTCTTTTTTCTTTCTACACTATCTCAACCTTCCCCATATTACCACTGCTCCTTTTGCAGTAGTAGATCTGAGAGAAATGAAGATGGATATCCTAAAAATTCTACTCTACTTGTATGGTTTTAAATTTATGTGTAATATTTTCTACTTAGTGACATTTATGTTAGCATCTGAACGAGTCTTGTTTTGTGCCATTGATTTGAACCGATCCATAGTTGACCTTCAGATAGGTTTTCAGAGGCAGTAACTTGCATGGGAGGAGACTGCCATCCTTCTCCCACAAAAGCAGCTGGTGAATTTGAGCCACATGTCTTTGGGATTGCAGAGCAACTTCTTAGTCCTGGGATACCAGAGCTTCTCTGAATGAATCTAGCCTAACTTTTAAGTCCAGTGTGTTGTTAGAGGGAACGATGGTGACACCTCATCTCACATACTTTAGACATGTTGTCAAAAGGGATCAGTCCTTGGATAAAGACATCTGGCTGTAAAATCTAAAGGGTCAGAGGAAGAGAGGAAGACCCTCAACAAGATGAACTGACAGAGTGACTATAACAAAGGTCTCAAACATATCAGAGATGGTGATGATGGCACAGAATAGGGCAAGATTCACATGTACTGTTCATAGGCTTACTACGAGTCTTAGTTGACTGGACAACACCTAACAACAAGAAGAAGCTTTATTTTTGAATATGAAATGAAGATGTGTTTTAAGGTTTTTTTCCCTCCTGGAAGGCCTAAACTTTATGAGAGGTGTGGCAGTAGTTTATCCAGGTGTATGGACAATATGCAAGCCACCCAACAGCACATAACAACAACAACAATGGATAATACAATTAATTATTGCCATAATTAATTTTTTTGAATTTATTTTAATATTACAGAAGCCAAGGCTGCCCCAAGAGATTGTTTCATTGATGTGAATTCTAAAGGTGACCGATTTGGCAATTGTGGTTTCTCTGGAAATGAATATAAGAAATGTGCCACTGGGTAAGTGGAAGTGGAATTAGAAGAACTGGGAAGAGTATAAGACCAGTCAAGTCTAGAATACTCTATAATTCTTTGTAAATGCTAACTTTCTCCATCTTAAATACCCAACTTTTCAAACCTCCACTTTGCTAACACTGGATATCAGAGAGATTCTAGATATATTAGGAACAGTACTAGTGAAATAATTTATCCCTTTTCTAAAGCTAGCTGTGACTTAACTAGTTATTAAAAAAATCCCTTTCTTATATTTTATTTGCAATAAGAATTCCAACCAAACACCCTTTACTTCTTTTAAAAACTTTTAAAATTTACTTCAAAATTAATTCTGGACTTCATTTTTTTCTTCTAGTTCCATTTAATTTTAAAATGAATAAAAATTTTTTATTTATATAACTAGCATTTGACTATAATAGAAAATTTATAATATTTTTTTTTTTTAATGGAAAGCCCATATAATCTCAGTTCCTATATATTCACTATTCTGGTGTGTTTTCGCACTTTTTTGCCTTTGTGCAGGATATGGTGACATTTTGCATGATTGGGTTTGTTCTGAAGTAGCGTGCTACTATTCCCTCTGCCTCTTTTTGTACTCTTACTAGTTAGGCTAAAGCAGCTGTCATCAAACTGTGCTTGCTAAGAAGAAATAGCAACAGTGACCTCCCTGTTACTGAACCCAATAAATATTTTTAGGTCTTCATTTTACTTGACCAGTTAGTAGCATTTAACTATGTAGGTTTTTATTTTTTTCCCCCTTAAGACATGTCTTGTTTAGGATTGTGTAATCTTGCAATATTTGTTCTATGTTTTGGATTCTTATTTAATGTGTTTTGCAGTAGGCTTACTTTTCTCTAACCTGCCATTAAATGCTAGAGTTTTTCAAGGCTCTGGTGTTGTTTCTTCTTTCTTTTCATTCCATCTTGTGTTTCCATGCAATTTTATTCACTTCAATTTTATTAATGTCAATTGCCATTTCTATGAGCTGTTATCAGCCATGCTTGTCTGCATGTGGCCTTCTTCTCCTTGCGCCCCATGTGTTCTTTTCCCCCCTCTTAGCCTAGTTAATTCCTAATGATCCTCCACATCTCAATTTGAGTGTAACATCTCTGAGAAGCTTTCATCAGCTTCCCTGGAAAGGTCAAATACCCCTCATGTGAGTGTTGTTAATGTTGTATACTATATTTTTTGGAGTCTTTGATGTCATGTCTTGCTTTTTTGTTATTCACCACTTGTCTGTCCATTGTATTGTTATGCATTGGCTTTTCAAATATTAGCAGGGTCATCCATGATGTATAGTTTTCAGTGGAGCATCCAGATTTAAAGTAGACTTGGAAGAAAAATAAAATAAAAATATTAGCCAGTGGAAAACATACAAATAGCAGCAGAACATTATACGCTAGTTGTGCTGGAAGATGAGCCTCTCAAGTTGGATAAAGCTGAAGATATAACAGAGAAAGAGCTGCCTTGGCAAAGTAGAATCAACCTTGATGATGTGGATAGGATAAGGCTTTCAAGATTTTACTTTGTTAATGTGGCATGATGTAAAATGGGAAGACAGTTACAAACATCCATTAGTAATTAGATATATAGACTATATTAATACTAATATAGGAAAATTGCAAGTTGTCAGAGATAAGAGAGAACAATTGAAGATGATATTCTCAGCATTAGTGAGTTGAAATATATTAGTACTGGTCATTTGGAATCAGATAAGCTTATGGGCTACTATACTGAGAATGACAAATTGAAGAGAGATGGTGTGATGATTGAGGTTAAGTGTCAGTTTGGCTAGCCGGTGTTTCACAGTGGTTTTTCAGATATTAGGTAATCATCCTTCATTTGTGATCTGATATCCACCGTTGAAAGGAGAGTTTCCTTGAAAATGTGGGCTGCATTCCAACATATATCGATATTTTGGTAGAGCTCATTCTTATCTCCATCATCCATCTGACTCTGAACTTCAGATTTATGGGATGTAAACTAGCAGCCTGCTGTCCAACCTGTAGAGTTTGGGATACTCCCCTTCTGCAGCCCTGTGAACCATCAGCCTGCTTGCTGTCTGACCTGTCTGGTTTGTCAGCCTCAGCAACCACATGAATTGGGAGAAGCTTTCAGTCTGATCCCTGATTCAAGTATTTGGGACTTGTTAGCCACTTGGTAAGCCATTCACTCTGTGTGTGTGTGTGTGATGCGCGCACACACACACACAACACACGCAGAGAGCGAGCGAGAGCGAGTGAGCGAGCTCTGGTGGCTTTCTGGTAAGGAGTTGAGCTGGCAACCCAAAGGCATGTGGTTCATATCTACCTGCTACTCGATGGGCAACCTCCTTCCACTTGATTTACTGCTTCTGAAAATTCAGTGGAGGGTCAGCTGTGAGTTGGTTCTGATTTGAAGGCACGTAAAAACAACATAGGTATTTGATTAATTTTGCTCCTCTAGAGAACTCGGCTTAAGACAAATTATGTAACATTCATTGTGAAAAATAGTAATTTCTGACTTGAAGAACAACACTATCAGTGATAGTGGACATGAATAAGATCCATAGTTTTTTTTCTATGATAACTTGGAATTGGAATAACAAGTTTATACAACTGTTATCAATTTATGACTAACCACTAATACCCGCAATGAAGAAATTTAACATTTTTACCATTTTTTTTTCAGTCTGGAATTGATTTTAAAAAATGTAGTCAAGATACATTGATAGTTAATGATTGAAAACAAAGAAAAAAGATTGATAATTAGAAAATATGGTATTGGTGAGGGAAATAATATTATGTGATAGCATTGTACAAGACCAATAACTTATTTTTAAGAAAGGCTTTTTTTTTAGCAACATAATTAATGGTTATATAGGTGAACTCTTGACACCAGCAGCCAGGAAATAAAAAAAAGTATTGCAATGGTAAAGTCTGCTGTTAGGGATCTCTCTAAAGTATTCAAGAGCAACGGTGTCTCTCTGGAGACTAAGGTACACCTGATACAGGTCGTGGTCTTTGCAATCACTTGTTATGCATTAGACAGTTGGACAATGACTAGGGAGGATAGAAAGAGAATTGATGCCTTTGAGCTGTGGTGCTGGAGAAGAGTATTGAGGGTACCATGGACTGCCAAGAAAACAAACAGATTCAACCTTGAGAGGGTTAAACCAGACTACTCCTTGAAGGCAAGGATTCTGGGGCTTCGTCTGACAGGTCCTTGAAGAGGGACATCATGCTTGGGAGGGTAGAGGGACAGCACCGAAGGGGAAGACCTTCTATGAAGTGGATTGATTCAGTGAGTGGGGTAATTGGGATGGGTGTGTCAGAGGCAGTGCGATTGGCACAGGATAGAACAGGGTTTAGGGCTGTTGTACATAGGGTCGCTATGAGTCACAAATGACTTGACGGCACATAACAACAACATGATGGATGGAGTACACCGGAATTAAATTGACTACATCTAGAAAAGGAAATTCTGGTGGCCTGGTGGTGAGAAGCTGTGCTGCAGTCCTGAAGATGATGTTGTTAGGTACCATCAAGTCATCTATGACCCAAACGACTCTTTAACAACAGATCTGCACCTTGCCCTAACCTGTATCATCTTTACAGTCTTTGTTGTACTTGAACCATTATGGTAATCACTGTGTCCGTCCGTCTTGTTCAAGCTTTTTCTCATCCTCTGCATTTCCCAACATGAAGTCTCTTTCCAAGGACTTATCTATTGCTTACTCTGTTTCTCTTTTTTGTATTTATTTATTTTCTTGTTGTGTACCACCGAATCGAATCTGACTAGCACAGGAAGAGATTGCCACTCCTTCTCCAGTGGAGCATCTGGTGGATTTGAATCGCGTGCCTTCGGGATTGCAGTGTAGATTCTTGCCACTAGGCCACCAGAGCTCCCTTCTATTGCTTACTCTGAAGTGGTTTTCACTTTAAGATTCAGGGAAAAAAGATGAAAAAATAGGGGTCAAAAAGATTAAGAGCCATGCTGGGGAAAAATTTATTTTGGTTTTTGTTGTTAAGTATTACTTTATCACCTGCTTTTGTGTTGTTTTTCTGACCTATACTGCTTCCTACCCAAAAGAGAAACACGAGCCCTGGTGGTTTAGTGGTAAAGAGTTTCACTGCCAACCTAAAGGTACACATTTCAAATCCTCAAGCTGCTCTGAGGGATAAAGATGGGTAGTCTACCTCTGTGCAGTTTACTGCCTCTGAAAACCTGCTAGAGGGACAGCTAATGGGTCGATTCCAACTCAACAGTACACAACAACAACAACCCAAAATATGAGTTAAATGTAGTTGGTAAGGAATTGCATGACTGATCAAAAGACTGTACCTCACTTGTGGTTCAAATCCACCAGCAACTCAATGGGAGGAAGAAGGGCAGTCTCCTTCTAGGTGATTTATAGCCTTAGAAACCCAGTGGAGGGACAGGTATGAGTTGGTTCTGACTTGATGACAATGAATGAGGTTTGAGTTTTATGTTCTTACAGCCCTCTGCCTTGTGTCCATTGCATTCATTTTGTATTTTGTTTCTAGTTAAGTTGGGCTTTGTTTTAGATAGATTTTAGGCCCTCTGTTCATAATCTTGCTCTGAATTGGAGACCAAAACCCACAAGTGTACAGTTTTCTTTCTGCATAATAAAGTGTGCAGATCTACAAAAACGTGTAGAATAAATGCCTCATTTAAAATTTAACTATCAATACTTTTAAATTCATTGAGTAAACTGTTTCATTTTCTAGCTCTCTCCAAATTCCCACTAAAATACGTATTTTGAAGTCAATGTTTTTCATTTTAAGTATTTTTAAAACCATTAAACATCTTGTAAACTCTGGGCAAATTACATACACACTTCATTTTTTTTCTCTATAAAGAAGATAATAATGATACCTCTTTATAAGTGTAAGGAGTCTGTTTGATAGTGTATCATGTGTTCTGTTGTTAACCGAAATGAAGGTGGTTCAAATCCACCAGCTGCTTAGTGGAAAAAGGGTCATTTCCTGGAAAGATTTGCCGTC